GCCAATTCATGCTGTATCTATGTTTCCAGCTTTCATGTTTTTTCAAAGCATCAAGGTGTCTGGAAAACAAGTAGCTCTTCAAGACTACTGGAGATGCCTGGAAAACATAGCATTTACTCCAAGCTTCGCCCCTACTTACAAAGCAGTTTTAGAGAATCATTATTCAACCAAATAACCAAATTCTATAACTGTTTAAACTTTCATTGTCCAACCTTTTTCGGCCATAACGTGCTCTGTTGCTATTTTTTCCCAAACAACCTGTGATGCTCCTTACTTGTAGGGTAATTTGGGAGAGGCAAGACAACCAAATAACTAAATCTTCTAATTTTTTATACCAACATCCTTTGTTTTTTGCAACTAATGTCGCCAGACCGAATTTTTCCAAACCAACGGTGCACGGTTCTTTCTTTCAAAATGCATGTTCACCGAAAGAAATTTTAATTTGTAGTTTCCGTGGCTATGACCGAGTGCAAAAAGACAAATGCGGATTTGTGAGGTAGATATAATTTTTTTCCGCAAATCATCAATAAATTAAAAGTAAGACTGATTATAATTCTTTTAAAAGACGGATACATAACATTGATGTTTGTAAAAAATAAGATAAACACTCGGGGAGAGGGAACATTTGTATACAACACAAATTTTCATTTCTTACTTAACAAAACCCAATAAAATAGGCACGTAAAGTTGTAAATAAGCGAAAATGAAATCCGGATTATAGATGACTTTGAGGTTTTTTTAAAAGACAGGCCTTGACTTGACGGCACGGAACAGTCAGATCAGGGGAACGCGTTTACGAATTGCGGCAGGCACGAAAAGGCTTAACGACAAACTTTATACGGGGCTTCGTCTAAATTAAACCCGCTCTCATGATATACACCTTGAAACGTCAAGTTCACTTTTCATACTTGGTCTGGAGGTACAAAAATATGAAGTAAACGTCCGAATCAACTACAGTGTTTGAACATGCCATAAAACAAGCCCGATTTTAAATTTGATCTAACAAATATTTGAATATTTCTTTCATTAAATGTCAAATGCTTAATTGGAAATTAAGATAACTTCTATTATGATGATGATGGATAGTAGGAAGTGGGGTTTTCTGTTCCTTAGTTCACTACCGATCTTTCTCTTAAGAAGTACTAGGTCATTGACTGCCGTTGCTACAATTACTTTCTCTGGGTTAGAAATAGTTAGAAGTTTAGTTAGAAATTAGATAAATGGTGGAGTGTGTTGTTCCATATTTTTAAAAAGATAGCTCCTACTCACAGTTATCTGTTTTCAACGATCCGGATTTCAAACTTACAGCTCATCATCAAGTTGAAGGAGCTGTAAGTTTGAAATCCGGATCGTTCAAAACAACTAACTGTGAGTAGGAACTATCTTTTTAAAAAGATTTCCCTGGGTTTTAATTGGATCCCTGGTTGTCTTCGCATTCGATGATGATATGGATGATTCTCCTAGTCATTACGTAACCTACAATATTTGATGTCATCAGCAGAAGAGCTATAATTGAGTATACCCATGTGTAGATGTTTTCGCAGATGTCAGTGACCGTAAGTAGTCCTGTTGCCCCTGACATTAGACCCTAACTGTAGCAATGATTTTGCCAGTCTTGGCGAGGGTGTTTTAGCAAAGCTTACTGTCTCAAGCACCTCTAGAGTTTATCCATTCCTCCTTTCGTCTTTTTTTGGTTCCATTCTATGATGGAGGATTGTGTTTAATTTCTATTGACTATGAAAATCTTTAAATATAGAATGCTTATTATTACAAAACATGTTGCCAATAATTTTATTTAAAGAAAAAAACTGTTAGTATCATTTGTTTATAAACTTATTATTGAAGAAACAAGAGGAATGCTATTAGTAGTATAGCAGCTTGATCGATCATCCATGTTTCAGCATCTCACCAACTTCTTGAGGTTGTTCTGTGTGTTATTTAATCAGTCGTGTCCATTTTATACGTTTGAGAGTATATGTTTTAAATTATAACTAATTGTTAACTATCTCAACAGAGAGTAGGACGGATTTCTACATGATCTGATTCGAAAAACGTTAACTTAATTAAAATTTATGAATTTTTTGTTGGCAGATGAAGGTACAAGGTTTTAATTTTTAATTAAGCAATTAAAACGTGTTATAAAAAGATAAACCAAGAACTTTTAAGGGTTAAAGGAATAAAGATAACACGTCAGGGGGGAATATTTGTAAATGAAAGGCTTTCATGAAAAGAAGCTGGGGTTGAAAGAGGGAGACGTGCTAAGTGAACGTTCGATAAAAATTCGTTCCGGTATGACCGCTGTTCAAGGCGAGGACTTCACGAAAAACATCTCAAGAGTGATACCGTCTAACCAAACACTCTCTAATGATGTGTTCTGGCTTTGTTCTCAAACAAAAACCAAATCACCAACGGGATTGTACACTTATGAAGAGAGTTAAATGCGTTGTTGAGCGGATCCACGTTGTCAGTGGTTGCGTCGTTTATCATCTTTTGCTTCTTCTCGCTGCTAATTTGGTCTATGACGAGATTCGGCTCGACGCTTAAAGTGATGATAATTCGTAGACCGGATCTCCTGTGAAAATGTATGTTGGTGGTCCATTCTCCGCTCAATCTTTTCACACCATCTAATTTCCTCACTATTAAACACTAACAGTATGCGTCGGTGGCCGCAACGGTTTAGGCGTTTACACGGCGCTTATCACTGTAAGGTGAAAGTCCTAGGTTCGAATCTAGCGGCCCTACATACTTATAAATAGTTTTTTTTTTCCAAAAACACCGATCTGTCTGTATCTCTCGTCTTTGTCTCTCTCTTTCTCACTCTGTCTCTCACTCCCCCTTTCTCTCAGTCTCACTGTCTCTCACTTTCTTTCTCCCACTCACACCCCATCATTCTTTCTTTTCTTCCCCTGTTCACATTTCTCCTCTTTCAACTTTTATTTTGCATTTTGCTCACTCTCTTCCCCACTCACACTTGCTTCAAATATGGTTCGGCTTTCCCTTGCTCTTCCTTTTTCTTCCTATCACTCTTCTCTTCCTTTCCCCCGCTCACTCTCTCTCTCTCTCACTCTCTCTCTCATTCTCTCTTTCTATCTATTTCATTTTCTTTCTAGTACAAATCTAGCTCTTTGGATCTCTCTTTCTTTCCCACCCCTCTCTCTCTTTCGCACCCCCTCTCTCTCAATCACTCTCCCCTTCTCTCTCTCTCTCTCTCTCTCCTTCCTTCCCTTTCTCTCTAGTGCTCATTCTCCTTTTCTATCTATTTCATTTTCTTTATGGTACTTATCTCTTAAGATCTCTCTCTCTCTCTCTCTCTCTCTCTCTCTCTCTCTCTCTCTCTCTCTCTCTCTCACTCTCCCCTTCTCTCTCTCTCTCTCTCTCTCCTTCCTTCCCTTTCTCTCTAGTGCTCATTCTCCTTTTCTATCTATTTCATTTTCTTTATGGTACTTATCTCTTAAGATCTCTCTCTCTCTCTCTCTCTCTCTCTCTCTCTCTATCTATCTATCTATCTATCTATCTATCTATCTATCTATCTATCTATAATTGATTTTAGCAGTGTCTTCAACAATGTAATACACAATGCACTATTACTTAAAATTTTAAAATTAATTGAATTATCCGATAAGTAAATTTTATTTTTTAAATCATATCTAAGTACTAGAAAGCAGAGCGTAAAAATGGTAAATGGAGATTCCGGCTAGCCGAAGGTCGTGGGATCGAATCCCACTCGTGACACTAACTTTTTCATTTCAACCAATACTTTACTTAAAAAGATTAATTAATTGAAAGAATTATTTGGTCAATCGGACCACAAAATATAATGGGGTTATGATCTTTTTTTCCCTAAATGTCAACCAAATATTTAATATAATGAAAAGCAGTTAATGTATATATTTGCTGCTGATCTAAATATGTATAAAGATAGCGAGTTAGAAAACAGGTGAATCCGTAAAGAATAAAAATGAAGACATAAAACGTATATCAGAATGAAGTAAAAACCATGGATTAAAATTGAATCCAAATAAGAGTTCATGCATAATATTAAGGAATGTTCAATTTATTAATAAAATAAATAAAATGCCGAAAATAAAAATAATTCTAGACAGAATGAAGCTAACAATTAAAATACATGTAAAAAGTCTTGGTGTTTACATTTCATCAAATTTGGTTTGGCAGAAACAAATTGATGTCATTAGACAAAAAGCATATGTAAAAATTTATATTTATTTATTTGTTCTCTCTTACTCACACTCTCCCTTTCTTCCTCGCACTCTCACTCTCGCATTCTACCTTTTTCCCCTCCTCAAATTTTTTCTTTTTCAATCTCTTACCCTATTTTTTTTACTCTGCCCTCTCACTCTCGTTTGCACTTTTTCTCTCATTCTTTACCACGTTCGAATTTTTCGAACAGATCTGTTGGTAGTTCTCCAAAACCTGGCAGGTACACGCCTTAATTAAGATATGTGTTTTGACTCCATATAATGTTTACCGTTCTTCAGGCGTCGGGCTGAAAGGCATCTCTGTCCAAATTAAACACCGGGTGAGTGAGAGAAAAACGGACCAGATGTGGCAAATACGACCAGAACACGGTCGAATAAACGCCGAAAAATATTGGAATCGAACCATCCAAACCGTAAATAACAGCCGCTCGTTGAGAGAATTAGTCATCACGTCTGGAAAATAGGTAGGCCAATTGTATTAGTTATTTTTGCACTTTGTTTGGGGCCGCGAATTAGGGAAACGTCCCATTTAGAGAAGACAAAATGCAATTAGGCCGGATGATTTAGTAAACCTTTTAACACCCATTCTTAATTTTCTACGCGTTTCCTCCTACGTTTCTTATCGAGTACATTGTATAATTGAGACATCAAACATTAACAACAGCCAAGGCGTATTTACTTGAGAACCAAAAATCGTTTTAAAAGAAAAAAAAATTAAGGATTGCGATTAAAATTTAAACGTTCGATAAAATGTGTCAAGGGATACAGGTCAAATTCTCTTACCACAAAAGTTGTAGGACGAATGTCTTTCTTCTTAATTTAGGTAGATGCATGACGTTAATATCCCTGAAACAAATATATTGCAATTATTATTTAAAAAAAATAANATGCAAATGAAAATATATAAAAAAATAAACATAGAAACGAATATATACCAACAAATACACTTAAAAATAAAGAGACTGAGAGAGAAAGATAGATAGAGAGAGAGAGAGAGAGAGAGAGAGAGAGAGAGAGAGAAAGAGAAAGAGAGAGAAAGAGAGAGAGAGAGAGAGAGAGAGAGAATAATTTTTTGTTGAAATACTTTTTATTAAAATGTATATATAAGGTAATAAGAAACAGGCGGTTTTACAGTGGTAGATACAGGAAGACAGTAGAAGTGTTTACGTAAAAATAAATTTAAATAAATATAAGAAATTACAAGCAAAATACAATATATAAATACATAAATAATAAAAAGAAAAAACGGTGAAAGAAAGAGAGAGTGAGTGAGAGAAAAAGAGAGGGAGTCAGACAAAGAAAAAGTGAGAGAGAGAGATTAGTTTTATTTCTGAATAAAAGAGTTAAATGGTTGAATTGTTTAAAAAATTCAGTTGTTAAAAAGTAATTTTCTCGGTCAACGAATAAACGCTCTTCAAATAAGGCTGGACACATATAAATTTATATACAGAGCTTTTTCTTTTCCAATAAAAATAATTAGTCAAATTACTTTACCAGTCATATAGTCATGTATTCAAATTGTCAGAGGCGCCCATTATTTTATCTCAAATTGAATTGTTGTGGGAATACAAAAGCCTACTGCTGGATAAAACCGTCCGTTTTAACCCCTGTTGGTTTTTGTTGATTAGCCCAGACATAGAGAGAGATTAGGAGAGGAAGAAAGCAACCAGCTAGGGATATTGATCTTCTTCGGATCCCAACCCCCTCGCGTTTATTTAACTCCAGTTATTTATCCCGTTTCAGGAAGCAAACGGTTATTTTTAGCCGGTTCAGGGCGCAGGGAACCTCAGGTCGGCACATATATCGATCCATTTGTACCTGGAGACTATGACATCCACATGAAAACGGCTTAATCAGTGAGATTATTGTCGTATGAGAAAGAGAAAGTGAAAGAGAAAAAGTGACTAAAGCGAAAGAAGATAGAAGATTGAAAAGATGCTGATTACAATTCCTTTAATACTAAAGGGTCCAATCGATCTTTTTATCTTTTTTACCATCGCTTTCTCATTTTTAAAAATGTGTTTTATTTTTAAATGAGCTATAGTCAACAAAGGAAAAATACGCTGCTATGAAGAGAGACGTCAGTAGGTTGCCAAGTTAAGATATTTTCTCCAACGTTTAAATCAAAATTAATGAATTTCTAAAGTTTAAATTTAAATAAACAATAGTTTTAGATACTCAAGAGCCGACGGAAATACTACCCTAAAACCTTACTACATAGTTTAAAGAAACTTTGGCGTTCCGTGGGGGATGCCAAGACCACATTAGGTCGCACTCCGTCCACAGATGACCGGGAATGCTTTAACATAAAGTTCTTCACAAGGACAAAAAGGTCAATGTTAGCATATACAGACAACAAATTGGATCAATTGACAGGAGTCTACGAGGAAAAACAACCCACAACGGTGAACATTCGCTTTTCCCCATGACAACGAGACGGATCGTATTTTATTGGCGATGCGGCGAAAATTTCATCCTTCTCAGCTTGCGACATCACCAAAGGATATTCGGCGAATCAACGAGTTCAGATTACCATTATTTCTTGTCGATTCAGAATTATTCAAATTTAACGTTTTTTTTTAATGAGAGGGGAGGTAAGAAAAAAATAAGTGAAACTTGCAATACAGGCAATTTTGAACAAAATAAACTAATATTAAACTAAAGTAAAACTTTTGGACAGAAATGATAAGAATTTGAGTAAAAATGGTTTCAATTATTGAAAATTTTTATAATTTATTAAACAGTACTGTTTTAAAAATAAAAAAATCAGGTTAGTATCCAGGAAAATACCTTTTTTAAATTGAACAAAGCTTTTCTTGTGTCGATATTTAGATTATTGGAGCAACGTCGTGTTAAATGTGTTATTGTGCTCTCGGTGTGCTATTGTTAGAGGATCTGACTCATACAAAAAGGATAATCCTCACCCGATTAAGGAAAGGCGATGCGAGCCCACGTGTGTATCCGACATGCGGAGAAAATGTGCCACCTAGTTGAAGGTTGCAATTCCTTGGCTCCATATAGAGAGCGTGTAGGAATACCGCTATAAGAATAGTGCTTGAGCACGGCAGCAAGTGTTTCTGTCCCTTGTTCCTATTCTTGTAGGAAACAGGATTTATTATTGCATATAGTAATGCTAGTTTTGTGACCCTAGCGTGTATTGAGAGTGAATGCATTTATTAGCGTAAATGTGCAGTGTGAGGGTCGATGGCGGAATACTGAGTATCAACCCTGATTAGGTTAGTTATGTAAATAAGAAAGAAGTCTTTAAGTCTTTAAGAGTAAGTGAGAGTGTGAATGGATTTAGAAACTGACTGCGTTCTATGTTGAAATGACCTAACCTTTTGTAGTTCCCGGAGCACACCTCGGCGGCTGGTCGGATAAGACCTAGATCTGACCCAGGTGACTCTCGTACCCTGCCGGTAATTCATTGTAAATTACCAAAGCTGGAATTACCGTTCGGAGAACTGCGGGAAGTGATAGGCTCAACTCTGAGCATGTGTGTAAAACGGAGAGGGCCACCTTCTTAGAAAAAGCATACCTCCTCACGCGTCTTCCGTCGGGCATAACTCAGAAATGTTCTATCCCATCAATATTTTCCTTTCAGTAAAACTGGCATAAAATAAGCTCTAGAATTGAATTGTACCATAAAAATATGGGATTATCTTTTAAAATAACAAAGTTAGTATCATTTCCAAGCTAGATGAGAAAGTTATGTAAAATATGTTACTACCATGCGATTCCTAGCCAAAATACACTTGGAGTTTCTATAAGACCATTTTTTGCTCAAATTAATCGCTCCCGAATTAAATGGGTGTACTACAGAAATTGATACATCCGTGCAGACTTGAGCTTACATAAATCAGTAATCCATCTCATATTTCAGTTTATTCCAGCATCGTTGTATCGTGTTTTATGTGTTATTGTGCTATTAAGAAATGATTACGTTTTACTGCACTTACAAGGTTTTTGTCTGGCTAAATGTCTCAATGTAATTCAAAACGTATCAAATTTTTATACAGAAAAATATTTTGTTCGCTTATTTATTAAGGCCTATCTCGTGTGGATATTTAGATTTTTCAAGAAACGTTGTACCGTGTTATATTTGTTATTGTGCTATTAAGAAACGATTTTATTTTACTGCATTTACGCGACTTTCATCTGGCTAAATGTCATCAATGTAATTTAAAACGTATCAGATTGTTATACAGAAAAATATTTTGTTCGCTTAATTAATAAGGCTCAGCACGTGTAGATATTTCGATTTTTCAAGAAACGTTGCATCATGTTATATTTGTTATTGCGCTATTAAGAAACGATTATATTTTATTGCACTTGCAAGGTTTTCGTCTGGCTAAATGTCTCAATTTAATTCAAAACGTATCAGATTTTTATACAGAAAAAAAAATTCGATCGCTTATTTAATAAGGGCCCATCTCGTGTGGATATTTCGATTTTTCAAGAAACGTTATATCGTGTTGTATTTGATATTGTGCTATTAAGAAACGATCATATTTTACTGCACTACGAGATTTGCATCTAAACAAATGTCAATACAATTCAAAAATTTATCAACAGATTTTTTTTCTCATTTAACACAGTCTGTCTTGAAGATATTTAAGTTATAGACGCAGCAATTGTAGCTGTTAGACGTACTATGCAATATTATTGTACGAAACCTATAGGTGAACGACCTTTCGAGATTTTCATCAGCTAAATGAATCTAACGTGAACACGAAGTTTATATGATTGCGTAAATGTTTTATGACTTCTTCTTTATGTTTAATAACCCTTAATTGTTTTTTTAATGCAAATGATAAGTTAAAAGGCAAAATTGGTGGATTATCTTTTCAAAAATCCCTTGATGGCAATGAATTTTATACTGCTCTGACACAATTTGGAGCATTCCTTTTTCAACTTTCCGTTTTTCTCCTTCCTGATTCCTTGGTGAACACTTCTTTTATAAGAAAGAAATATTTAAGTAAATCATAGCATAACTTTAAAAGAGTTTACAAAATAGCGCAATTACACAACGATCAGCAGACCCCAGACTATGTCGAGCGTACTTCAGACTTGCTTCACGAAACTTCTAAAATTAAACCCACTTAATATGATTAACATGACTATCACAGCGTGAATACACTAATTAAGTAAAGTAACGAGTTCTTAACACTGAAAAGATCAAAGATCCTGTACGTCCAAAGTTTGCCTGAGTTCTCATACTATATAAAATTTTTAAAAAGTTTTAAATTATAATATAAATTTATAATTATTCTGTTAATTCTAACTCGTTGAATTCTATACAAGTCATTTTCCGGTCACATACCGCCACATATCCTTTCTTCCGGCTATTATTCGCCAATCTATTGTTTCCCGTGACGTCCATCTGATAGGTTGATTGAATACCAAACGCTTCTTTTTGCCGTCCAGTATTTCGGCGTGTTTCAAAATATATTGTTCTTTTTCCGCAATTTAAATTTGATTGTTTTTGTTTTTTTTTCAGTTTGTGTTATAAACTACAAAATTTTTCTCAATTGTGCAGCTGAGGCTGAACGCTGTTGAAAAACCACGCGTTCAATTGACGAAGAGAGAACAATCGCGTTATTCCTATGCAGGTCAAAGCTTCGTTTAACACAACACAATTGACTAGGAAATATTGTTTATCACGCGTTTTACAACTGTTTTGTCTTTAGCAAAAAATCGCATTTTGTTTATATACTGAAATCAATGATCTGAAAAGCCCGAAATCGTGGCCTATTTATTTATCCACTTGTTTAAAATTATAGAAGAAGAACAAATGACACTACTTCGTACATTTCAAATTTATAATTCAGACTCTGCAGAGAATA